AGCAGTAACGCAATTAAATTTACTGCTATGTAGCGGGCAGAACGGCACACAGTTGTTTACCAAGCACACAATATGTAAACAACATGAGCGGCTGCTCCGCGTTAGCAAGACTGCACCTCATTGTTTCTATTCATAATGTAAACCTACAGGTCTGGTGACTATGGTTGTCAGTCATGTATATTTGACAGTTAACTATATTTAACTGTCATGTTGTATAATACATTTAAGGGCCATTTTAGATCATTTGTAAATTTGTAATTTTATCAAAAGTTTTTGCTACATTTTTGCCTAACTCTTAGCTATTTAATTGAATGACTAACTACTGAAGTCAACCTTTAGCTATTTCTGACTTTATAGTTGTCCTTGTCTTGTACATTTTTAAATAAATTGTAACCATCCAAAATAAATGATAATTCAGGTTATTTTTAGGAACTTAATTGCTCCATTAAAAAAAGAATTGCCTCACTTTCAGTTAACTTTTTGATTTTTTTGCCAACCTTAAGCTATATCAAGGCTTACTCCCTTTTCTTCTGGTCTAGTTCCAGCTCTGTGTAAATGGCTAACTGTGGCTGTATTTGTTATTTGGACGACTTAGCCACTTCTGGGAAATCTGTCTTCTGGCTAATGCAGTTGGGGGTTTTGAGGGTTTTTTTTTTGTTTATTTGTTTGTTTTTTCTGCAAAATACTAGAAACTCATCATTATAGTTTTGGCCAAACAATATACTCAATCTGACTTCCTAGGTTGAAATGCAACATTAAACACTAACAGTAGTTTTTTCCATTCATTTAAATACTTTTCCACTGATGATACAGGGATTAAAAAATGTATTTTCTGTTTTCAAACTGTTCATTTCGGGGGGGTTTTCTCATCAGACATGTACTTATTCTTTCTACTCTTTCCATCATAGCCTGACTGGTGAGTTTGCAAATCTCCAGTAATCGCCTCTATAGAAGAACACCTGCTCACATCTGATCCTACTTAACAGGTGAGTGACCCCATTAAGACCATTTACAGGGGGCAAAGAGTGACACGTCTGAACACGTGCCAACACTCACAGGTAAACACAGAGAGGTGAAGGAGAGTCCCCTCACACTCACTATGGATGCACTGGAACTATCAAAGGTCAAACTAAAATAAGACAGTTAATGACACCTTACCCTTCAATCTCCATCTGTGGTCTGTAAAAATAAAGGGGACACAATTAGAAATGTTTTACAGTTAGAGGTTTTATTCCAGAGCCAAAATAAGACAGGCTGACCTGAATTTGAGCAGAGATGCACTCTTAAATCCAGGTGTGTCCTTCAGAGAAGACTCCATCTGCAAAGACGAACACAGTCAGATAACCATGTTTCTCTAGTAAATCTGAAGCAATAAATTTAGTCTTGGGGAGGGTTTAAATTTATTTGTTTGTTTCTGTTGTTTCTGTGATTCATCATTCAAATCTTTATTCCAAAGATAGCAGAACTACAAAAATAAAGAGAATATTTTACGATAAGTAACATGAAAACATGAGTAACTTTTTACTCTTTCTAGCGCGTTCTAGCCACTTCCTGCACACAGACTTTAATCCCTCACCGACACGTGAGCATGTGTGTCTCTAGTGTAAGTCATAGTATCTGCATGTGAGAAAATTGAGTCACCTAACATTGTTTCCTTGACCGACCAAGTAGTTTTAGTTGTTTTGGGGTTTTTTTACAGTCATTGTGTTGGTTTGTAAATCTAGCAAAATGTTAGCGTTGTTAACAGTAAAATGGAGCAATAAAAGTAGGAAAAACAACAGAACCAGGATGTACTGCAGGTTCAAAGCTACACCAGAGTAGAGCAGCAGGTCTTAGGTGTTGTGAGAGACTGTAGCACACAAACCTTTTCAGTGATCTTTCTGCTAAGTGTTTGGTAGCGCAGGCTGGTTGGATCCTCCAGGTCATCACTGTACGTCTCTCCTGTTAGGACGATGCTGAGCTCCACCGCCTGCACCATCACAGCAGGGGTTAAGGTCCGCTCGACAAGGTCATGGTCCAGCTTTGACAAGAGACAGAAATGTAAGTAAATGAAAATGTGTTATGCCAGTAGACATGTGGATGAATGTCTACTCACTGTGTTGTCCTCCACCTCTGGGATGATGGTGACAACATCTCCTTCCTTAGCTTCATCTGCATAGTCGTTGGGTTAATGTGTAAAAAGAGTTGATTAGGAAATTAGGAATTAGGAAAGATGTACAGTTGTGGCATGATGCTAACATGTTAATGTACAGTATTAGTGTGACAGTAGAGTGGTTACTGACCAGGCTGTCGAGCCACAGCAGGCTGTGACGTGTCTGGTGCTGTAGAACTGTGACACACAGGGAGACAAAAGTCATACGTTACATGACATCATAATAAATACTTTAAATTAATTTGAAAATGTAATATTATACAAAGACAATAAAACAATAAAACACAATTATTCTTATAAATTGGATGAGATTGTAAAAACATTGCAGCTACCATGGCATTTTTTTAAAAGAAAACTGCATATTCACATTAGAGTTTATATTACTAGCTTTTCTTAAAGGGTTAAATTATATAATATACTGTACCTGCACATATGCTGCCAGGACCTGGTGGGCTCACTACAGAAACAAAGAGAAGAATGAGGCATTTACATAAAAGAAAGGCCTTTGATGAGAAGAGAATTAATCAGGTTTAATTTAATTTGCATACAAAATACACAAGTGAAGGACGTAAAGTGTTACCTCCTCGGACCTGACGGTGGCATTCTCTGAAAATGAAAACAAAAAGAACTCACATTTTTAACAGTTGGATGTTCCTGACATAAAGGTTTGGGGATTTTTATAGACAACATTAGCAGAGAGTACAACTATCTTTGAGCTAACAGTCAGCATTTAGGTCTTTTCACCTAACTATCTAAGGGTTACCTTTAAGGGATTTTGCCTCCATTTAAGCCAGTTTAAGCCAGCTCTTGATTTTTTTCTTGATTTGAATTGTCTAGGCAAAATGTTTTTAAATGTGCCCTTCATGACAGATGTGAGTTAATCTACTCAGGATAACTGTTAGCAGCTTTTTTAAATTAAAAAGAATTTTAAAACAAAGCAGTAGAGATTTTAATGGGCAATTCCATACGAGAAAAGAAGCTCTTTCCTCAAACTCTTATGTAATGATATTATGTCCTGCATGGGTTTTTTTTCTCATTAGTCATTCACAAACCTTTTGAACCAGAGCATAATGCTCGTCTGACTGGCTGAAGTAGGTGCCAATATCTTGTGCGGTCACTTTGCCGTCCTGACAGCGGCTCATCCAGCTATGGTACTCTTCTTGGTCTGGGAGTCGGTCCCAGAAGATCTTGAAAGCCTCCCATACGGTCTCCTGACAGACTGGTCAGAGCAAATGAAGAAAACAGTCTCTTTAAAACTCTGCAGTACAGCACCTGTAGTCCTTTCTCTCATAGGTTTCTCATCTCGACTGTGGTAAAAGATTATTGTCAGACTTATGGTAAAAAGGTCTCCTAGATTGTTTTATGAACCAAATGAAGAATAAAAAAAACCTCTCGTAAATCTCGTAAATGCATCTACAGAGGGATGGTAATCTCATGTCTACTCTACTTCGTGACATAACTGTCTTGTTTGACTCAGCTGTCTGGGCACTGATCCAAAATCAGTGCATCAACAACATGTGGTCCAATCACCTCAGCTAATCAACACTGTCTGTGAAACCTCCAAATCTAAATTGTTCTTACATAACACCATTTCAATTTTTAACATCTACATCCTGCCCAGCTGGACTGACAACAGCCCACAGTATATGTTACAAGTCTTGGCATAAAAAAACATCCATATTATGTGTAGTATATTACTGCAAAAGATGATTTCTTTAGAGCTAATCTAATACTGTATAGCAAAATGAGTCACTTGGTCCACATAAAGCATTCAGTTACCATTACCATTGATGGCCCACATTTGGTATCAATGACTCCAGATTTTGACTTGGGTCTGGTCCACAGACTCCTCTAACAGTCAGAACCAGACCAATGTCACCATGTTAGATATGTCACATTTAACTGATGTGTCTTTGTTGGTGTGTGTTTGTAGTTTGCCAGTGACTGACCGTAAAGGTTTTCTACTGAAGCAATAAAGGCTCTACAACGACGCCAAGAAATCCTTCATAAAGTTAAATGAGATCTGTTATTGTGTTGCCCAGGTTCACAGGTGCATGTTAGTTGTTCAGTGATTCTGTCTTAGTCTCACCTCTCAGGTGGAAGTAGCTGAGATGGTTCGCAATGACCTGCTGCTCCGTCTCCTGTGCACACAGTTTAACTCCACTTGGTAAAAGGATGTTTCTCTTCCGACGAGAAATAACTGTGTGACCTTCATGTTTTGCCTTTGCATCAGCTACACTGAGGATGTGGGGAAACACTATGTTGTCCTGATTATTTAGCAGACTGGGTGGCCCCTCAGCAGATCCCTCCAGTGTAGCCTCTGAAGTCCCCAAAACACAGAAAGTAATACAGACTTTGGTCATAGTATGAACTTGTAGTTTGAGGGTAATTTATTAGTACATACCTGTCCTTGTGTCCAGAAACATGACAAGAAAACAGAAAGCAAAGTGAAACACTAACTTCCAAGATGTGATGCTCATGATAAATCTTCAGACGAGCTTAAATCCAATTCAGAACAAATCCAAGTATAAACGTGTTTCCTTTCAAGTCATACAAAAGTGATGTGAACAGATTCCTAAGAGTTTGCATAGCTCAAAATTCTCCAAACGAGGAAGACTCATCTGACAACAATCACAAACAGTTTGCTAATTGTGACACTCATAGGTAGAAAGGAGGGTTCTAAAGAGTCTGAGGAGAACGCTGGTGGATCAAGTACATGATGGCAGATGGTCCCTGGAAAGTGGAGTGGGGGGTTAATGCCCTCTAATCCTGTTTGTTCTTTTAAGTCTTTTAGCAGAGCTGGCCAAGAAGTTAGTGGAGCAGTGCTAGACAGTCAGGGCACTTGGCGTTCTCAGCTAATAGCCATTTCTTGTCTTTTCAGTCAACATTTGGATACGTCTTGGGGAAAAATTCTTTTCAGTTTCCTCATTTTCTTCATTGATATTTTATCTGAATTCATCAGAAAAGCTGATGCTTGCAGGAATCTATGTATTTATTATATTCTCTTTATAAATTTCAGTTTATTTTAGTCTAAAGTATCAGAAGGAACTTTCTCTTGTGGTGGAATTAATGTATTCTTTTACAGGATACCATGAATCTGATTGTCCAAACTAATGCTCTACTCGTTATTTTTCAGAGGCTAAAATACAGAATTTGACCAATAACATAACACAAATCCCCGCTGCAGATGTCACAAGGACAAATAACTGGCATTGTACGTCAGAGTAAAAATAACTACCGCTGTAGTATTAAATAAAATAAAAAAGTGCTGATCTGGTAGAAGTATGGTAGACAATGTCAAGAATTGCTTTATATCATAAAGCACTTATATAATCTGGCCTGCAGCTGTTTTAAAAGGAAAAAAAAGAAATCCTCCTCCATAGCAAACTGGGCCTGGTATGGGCATGAAACTCCCGGGCTGAAAAAGAAACCCACTCCGGCCCTGCATATATATATATATATATATATATATATATATATATATATATATATATATATATATATATATATATATATATATATATATATATATATATATATATATATATATATATATATATATATATATATATATATATATATATTAAAACTATTATTATTAATTATTTTGTATTTAATTTTTTTTTTTATAGATTTTCATCAAAAAGCTTTTCTGTTACAGTCGTCAAAGCACGCTCTCTCTATTAAAGAAAAAGTTATGAGACGAAACACCAAAAAAGAATGTGAATGTCAGCGGTCAACTGTAGGGGGCGCGCTGTTATTGGAAATAGAACGGAAATAGAAATACGTTGTACGGTCCTCATTTCCGGTTGCGGATCCGGCGCATGAGACACGAGTGTTAGCCGTTTGGGCTTCCAGCGAGCGTTCAAGTCAAAAAACTGGGCACGGTGGAAATATCTGATTGATTTAAATGGTGGGTTTTTGAAAACAACTGTCGGTTGTATTTTGTTTGAAATGATAGTCGTTTGGTCGAGACAGTTAGTGCAATTTACGTTAGCATATGCGACTCGGCAGCTAACGTTAGCTTTTGTCAGAAGTTAAATTATTCGTAGTTAGTTTTTCGTCCTAAATAATGAACATAGAGGTATAGTGGTAAACAAGAAATTGGCCTTTGACAGGAGTTTGAGCTGAGCTGATGCACCTTTTTGAAAATATGAAATGAACTTTCAAATATTACTTTTCTGTACATAAACCCATCCTACTGCAGGGCCACGAACGGTCCACCACTCAAATCAAGTAAAACGGAGAATGAGACCTGTTTTCCGTCGCTAAAGATTCAGTAAGTGACACGAAATGATTGTGCTTAAGTGCCACCAATGACTATAGGATGGTAGTTAGTTTGGCGTCAAGAATATGGAATGTCCACGTGAAGTTACAAATGGCAATACGACTCTGCTAGTCGAGTAGCAGAGTAATCCTCTGCTAGTTTTGTCTTGCATTTGTGTTACAAACATAAGGCTATATGCTCTATAGTGTGTGTGTGATATGAAAATCATAAAAAGAGACACGACTAAGGCCAGTAGAATTGATTTATTTGCATTCAGATTAAAAGGAAAGTAGTGCAACATGGATTTCTTCACAAGTTATAGCACACTATCAATGAATATGGGAAATTTGAACAGCAGATGTTAGTAGAAGTAGATCGATAGATTAGTGTTAGTAGTATTAGTAGGTAATTATTGTTGCTGTATGGTGTTGTTGATTGCAATCTCAATTAAAATATAGTTTTATATTCTTGTTATACTATTCTAAATTAAATTGGTATGATCTGTATGTATAGTAAAATATACCACATTATGCCTATGGTGTGTATATAAGCAGAACTAGTATAATTATAAGGATGTTATGTGAACAAGTATATAAAATAAAAATATAATAAATGAAATATATGCACAGTGTAAATTGAGTAGTGAAAATAAATAAATTGTTAGCTATATAGGTGGTTCCATCAGACATATTAGTGTATGATTGTTTAAATTATTTTATTTTGGATCATTTCCTGTTAAGTTATATTTTGGTGTTTAATTTTTGCTCTGTGACCCTTCTTAATGTCTGCCATCAAAACATGCAAATTTCAGCAGCAACATCATCATGTTTTCTACAGATAAGCAGATGGGCTGTCAGTGTTTTATGAACGCCTTCAACCTGAGGGATCCACAGATCGGTAGGTAAACAAATTAATACCGTAAAAGAAACGAGACTGCAGATAGTACACAGCTTCCTGATTACTAATATTTTGCACATAGTATTATATAAATGAAATACTGAAGTCAATAATGAATCACAGACAGCATCTTTTGTAGAGCTTGTGATAATGAACATTTATTTGTTGTCAGTATTCCAGAGAGGTCCTGAAGAAAGCTAAGGAGCACAGCAGGCACATCAACGACATCCAGACGTCACCATGTTCATCAGTGCCTCAAAGGACAACACCGCCAAGGTGAGAACTTTTATGGAAATGATTATTGTGATGACAGTTGTTGAGAAATGTTTTGAGAATGTCATCAGAATGACACCTCGCTGGCCATCAAGGAGAACGCCCAGAGAAAAGTTTAGTTGTCATCCTTAAATGAAACCTGAATTTTTAGTTTTTGAAGGTGAATAAAGAAAAGATTCTCATCCAGGTCAAGGTTGAAGAGTTCCATTAGGCAACTGGATGTGAAATTTTCTCAAGAAGCCCCTGTTGAGTGAAAATTTCATGTCCAGTTGTCTAAAGAAAGTCTTCAACAAAGAAAAGAGTTGTTTTTCTTTTAACTCTTGGATTTGTTTATATATGTCTGGAATTGTGAGGTGACCTTCCAGTCATTTGTGCTCGAGACCCCTGCTCCAAAATAGAACAACAGAAATAAGTGAATGATAAATGTATTTGAAGATATTTATTGATAGTTTGTTATTCAAGTGTGTGTGAACTGAAGTAAACATAGACAATTTGCTGGGGGGTTATAAGAAGATATGCCAAAAAAACCCACACAGTAGTAGGTGTGGTTACTTTGAGTGTGTCAGCTAGTCCCATTTATTTACAATTACATTTTCTTTCAGTCCTAGTTTTCTAAGGATTTAGAATATTTGAAGTACATTTTAGGAGAAATGAGTGGTACAGTTTGAAACAAACTTACTGTTATGGTTTTGTGTTACCTTTTAATGTTGACAGATTGGAGTCCAATAAAGCTAAGTGACTTGACTGTCTGTGTGTGGCTCTACGTCAGCCACCCAGATAGAGTGGAATAAAAATAAGTCATTTGATGATTACTGCTGTACGTAGTGTGCCATGTATTGTCTTTGCCTCTCTGGATCACATCAAGACTTTTAAAATTTAATTTGTCATTGTACAAATCCTAGTAGAACTAGGAACTAGTTGTAACTAAGTTCCTAGTAGAACAACAGTGACCTTGAACCTTGCAATTGTTTGTGTTGTAGGTGTTTATGGGAGGTGGGCAGGAGGCCATGGACGCGACCACAACTTCCACCAGGATTGGCAAGTTTGAGGCCAGGTGAGTTGAAGTAGTGTTTCCAGAATGTTGGTTGAATAAAGAATCTAACGACTGTTGTCTTCATCTGAACATATGAAGAAAATGCAGATGTTCTTTATTCCATTGTGGTGTTAGCATTAGCACTGAAGAAGCCACAACTTTGTTACAAACAAAGGCCATTATGTAGTGATGTGTTATGTGTGATCTGTTTAAAGCATTGAATCCATACTGTTGTTGATAGTGATGTGTAAACATTTGATTGTGCAACAGACTTTCCACTGTAATTGTAATGTTGGCGGTGCTGTTGAAGGAAAACCTGTTTGTTTGTGTTAACATATTGTGGCACAATGATGTGTTCTTTTAATCTGAAGGTTCTTCTGAGCTGTGTATGAAGAGGAGTTTGGCAGGAGTCAAAGGTCATTTCGGTCCCATCAACTGTGCAACTTTCCACCCTGACGGCAAGAGGTAAAAAAAAAACCTTTGTCCAGTTGCCCTCGATGTAACTATTTTTGGATTGTGTTATTCCAGCTTGTTCCATTCATTGTGCTTTGTATGCTTGTCTTAACAGCAATGGAGGAGAAGACTTGTGAACACAGCAGCTTGGACTCTGCTAGGTAGAGTGTAGGAGCAACTTTATTTGAAGCAGATCACTTGTTTGCTGGACCTGTGAGTATTTTACTGAAATGTGTAATTGCTTGAGGAAAGTGTCATTCCATTTATTGTGCCTTAATGCTATAGTCAGATACTTAACAGAGTCACTTTTTTGGCTTTTGCTGGTTATTCCAGCTCATTGAGCCTTAATGCTATTTTAAACTGTATTTAATTGTTGTAAACCTTCCAGAATAAAGGAAGTTGTTGGAATATTGTGTGTGGCCTACATTTATTTCCCGAAATAAGGCCAAAATATGAATGGGATTTCTCATTGTCTTTTAGGGCCATGCATAGTCAAAGTCAAGGGTATGGTATAGGTAAGGAATGAGAATTTATTTATTTATTTATTTATTTTTTTAATTTTTTAGTTTTTTCTTTAGTTTAACTTTTAACTAAGTTTTTTTTAGTTTAGTTTGTTACATAAACAGTAAAAAGCAGCAAGTTAAAACAGTTAGCAGTAAGTTAAAAACCCAAACAGAATATATGGACTTTTAAACACAAAATATTCA